ACCGGGATCACAACAGAGGGTCCTGGACAGAGCTGGAGAAAGATGTAGAACAAAATTCTAACACACAAAAAAAAGACCAGATTTACTGGCCTGACAGAGACTGGAGAAACTCCAAGAGTGTGGCCCCCAGACACCCTTTTGGCTCAGTGGTGAAGTTGCTCCTGAGGTTCACCGTTCAGCTGGGGGATTGGACAGCCCCATAAAACAAAACAGGACTAATGAGGCACAGCAGTCCAGGGACAACGACTAGAAGGCAGGAGGGGACAGGAACGCTGGTGATAGGGAACCCAAGGTTGAGAAAGGACAGTGCTGACATGTCGTGGGGTTGTTAACCATTGTCATAGGACAATATGTGTACTGTTTAATGAGAAACTATTCTGTTCTATAAACCTTATCTATAGTACAAAAAAAAAAAAAGGAATTACGTATGTGAGATCAAATTGACAACAGCAACTCAAAAGATTTGATAGGAAGCCTAGGGGGCAGTGAGTAGAAGATAATGGTGATGGAGTAATTTGGAAAAGGGTAGAATAGCAGCACAACTGGAAGAATGTAATCAACATCACTGAATTGTACATGTAGAAATTTTTGAAATGGTATATTTCTGGCTATGTGTATTTTCACCAAAACAGAAAAAAGGTCCTCCATGGTTGAGAAGGGACAGTGCTGACATGTTGTGGGGTTGTTAACCAACGTCATAAAACAATATGCATACTGACTGTGTAATGAGAAACTATTTGTTCTGTAAACCTTCACCTAAAGTAAAAAAAGAAAAGAAAGGTAAAGTTACTTGCCCAAGGTATGACATAGCTAGTAAATGATGGAGTCAGGATTTGAAACAAGGGGATCTGCCCACAGAATCTTCTTCCTTAACTAAGTAGATCTAGCTACAGACACTAATGTTATGTTCGCATTCTTCATTTTTTTATATATGTTTAACAGTCTCTGGCTATGCGACATATTTTTTTTTGCAGACTATGCCAATAATTTTTTATATTAAAAATATTTTTAACATAGTAACACTAGAATTAGTCATGTTGTCTGCTTGTCTCAGTTCTCTCAAATCATGGTGAAGTTTTTATCACTTACGGAAGTGGTGCAGGATCTTATAGTGAAGGTGTATGAAGTTTGGAGTTACACAGGCCTGGACTTGAATTCTAGCTCGTTACTTTTAATCACTCTTACTTTGGGCAGTTTACTTACCTCTTTGAAACTCTTGTGTTTAGAGAAAGTCAGGTATTCCAAGACTACAATGGGGTTATTTTATATCCATTCAATTGGCAACAAATTAAAAGGTCTTAAAATAGTAATTGTTGGTGAAGATGTAGTTACATAGGCTCTCTTATATGTTGCTGGTGGGAGGGTAAATTGGTACAGCCACCTTGGAAAACAGTTTGACATTATGTCCTAAAGTTGAACCTATACATATCAGATAACCTAGTAGTTTTATTCCTAGTGTAGGCCAGCGGAAACACTGGCGGCTTAGTGGTTAAGAGCTATGGTTGCACCAAAAAGTCAGCAGTTCGAATCCACCAGGTGCTCCTTGGAAACACTATGGAGCAGTTCTGCTCTGTTCTGTAGGGTCTCTATGAGTCGCAATGGACTTGACAGCAACAGATTTGACTTTGTTTTTCATTGACTCCATTTCTTCTCTGTAACAATGAGTTACAAAATCTAGCATGTTACTTTTTACATACTTTCTTATAAAATATAGTATTTCCTATGTATTACCCCACTGGTCTTTATAGCTTCTTGAGATCTTCTTCATATTTGATATATCTTCTTGATATTTTCTTACAGAGTCTGGACACAGTTCTGACAATGTAAGAGTTGATTTAGGTACCCACATCTAGCCCAAAATTCAGTGCTGCTTCTAGCATAGTATACTAGTTATGCCTTTCACGGTTAAGCCCAGGTATTGGCAAACTGTAGCCCATAAACCAAATCCAGCTTGCCAGCTGCTTTTGAAAATAAAGTTTTCTCGGAATACAGCCTTGCCCATTTGTTTGTGTGTTGCCGATGGCTGCTTTAATGCTGTAACAGGAGAGTTGAATAGTAGTGACAGACCATATGGCCTACAAGCCTAAGATCTTCACTGTCTGGCCCTTTACAGAAGCTGGCCAACTCCTGGTTAGTCCATGAATCTCAACTGGGGTGGTACTACCCCTCCCCGACACCACACCAAAACATCATTTTGAGGAAACTTTTTAAATGTGTATCTCCCACTAGACTCTGCCCTGGAGTACAAGGATTGCATTCTTCTCAATCTCTGTATTCATATTATTTGATGAAAGAGTGAATAAAAAATATAGTACTCTAAACTATACCTTTCCTATTATGATAATTTGAATTGGAGGTATGTGAGGCAGGGTTATGATAGTAACTGAAGATAAAATAAAATGGATTTTTTTTAAATGAATATTACCAAAATAATATGGAAACTTGACAAGTTAATTAACAAAGAAACTCCCAGGTTAATAATGTTTATTTCTCTCAGTTTAGTTACATATTACTCTAATTTTATTCTTCAATTATCTTTTATTAAAATTAATATAAATACTAAATGCCCTATAGAGTTGTAACTAGTACTCTCGGTGATTATACAGTACAGTGGTAATATTTTAATGCTTACATTTTTCTTTGGATGTTTCAGGTCATGGGAGATAATTTGCTGCTATCATCTGTCTTTCAGTTCTCTAGGAAAATAAGACAATCTATAGATAAAACAGCTGGAAAGATCAGGTACTGTTCTATTCCTTAAAGCTTTTTACTTAAATAATTAACCGTCACCTGTTCAACTCTTTTCACACCTGCTACCACAGCTGTTAGGAACTAGTAAAGTTAATGGAACTGAATCTTAACTGCTGCTACTACCATGTTCCTTACATTTTGGATGTAAGTCATAACCATAAACTAGACAGCATGAAGATGACAAAAAGAGAAACGTCCTACATAATCAGACTTTTATAACTAAGAATTAATAGCTGTGATCACTTCAATTAATTTTGTCAATAACTGGAAACTTTTCTACTCTTCTACAAAATAATAGTAAATATTTTAAATTAACAGACTTCTGGGGTTTCTTTTATAAGACCTCAAACTTCACCCTAGTTTCATCTTCCTTATCAGTAATGGAGACAACATGGGAACTCTTGTGAGACTCAAGAGAGAAAATTTATGTAGCAGCCCCTTGAAAATGAAAATAGTATGGATGGTGCAGTTTTAGTTCCATGTTTTTTAATACCTTTATTATGTATTTTGGAGCCCTGCTGGCACAGTGGGTAAGAGCTAGGCTGCTAACCAGAGGTCAGCAGTTCAAATCCACCAGCCACTCCTTGGAAATCCTATGGGGCAGTTCTAGTCTGTCCTATAGGGTTGCTATGAGTCGGAATCGACTTGACAGCAGTGGTGTTTTTTTTTTGTTCTTTTTTTTTAATGTATTTATATTGAATTGTAAGAATTTTTCCAGTGTCTGATCCCTTCGCTAGCCTGAATTCTTGTGAATAGGGACTATGTAGTACTGAATTTTATGTTACTGAGTGCCCTGCTATGAATTATGTACTCCATAAATATTTGTTGAAATGAATGGATGAAGAAATACCTTTGTTTGTTTATGGCTTGACAATTGCTAGAAAAGAGTCATTAAAAAGGGGGCTGGAGAAGGTAAGGACTGTATTAATGAACTTTTGGGGAGTGAAGTTGTGGAAGAAAAGAGGATCTAATGAAGTGTAGAGAATAGTGGACCAGACTAATGGGCAGAAGACTTGAGGGTGTGTTTCACCTCTACCACTTACTCTGTGACCTTGAACAAGCTACCTGTTGTCTCTGAGCCCCAATTTCATTATCTTATACAGAAATTCTGTTTTAGTTATCTAATGCTGCTGTAACAGAAATACCACAGGTGGATGGCTTTAACAAAGAGAAATTTATTTCCTCACAGTAAAGCAGGCTAAAAGTCCAAATTTAGAGTGTCAGCTCCAGGGGAAGGCTTCCTCTCTCTCTCGTCTCTGGAGGAAGGTCCTTGTCCTCAATCTTCCCCTTGTCAAGAAGCTTCTCAGATGCAAAGACCCCAGGTCCAAAGGATGCGCTCTGTTCCTGGTGCTGCTTTCTTGGTGGTATGAGGTCCCCCTGTCTCTCTGCTTACTTCTGTCTTTTATATCTCAAAAGAGATTGCGTCAAGACACAACCTCATCTTGTAGATTGAGTCCTGCCTCATTAACATCATAGAGGTGGGATTTACAACACATAGGAAAATCACATCAGATGACAAAGTGGTGGACAGTCACACAATACTGGGAATCATGGCCCAGCCAAACTGATACATGTTGGGGGGGACATAATTCAATCTTTGACACCTATATTAATGAATTTTTGGGGAGTGAAGGCGATGGAGGAAAAGAGGATCTAAAGAAGTGTAGAGAATTGTGGACCAGACTTGAGGGTGTGTTTCACCTCTACCACTTACTGTGTGACCTTGAACAAGCTACCTGTTGTCTCTGAGCCCCAATTTCAACATCTTATACAGGAATAAGTATACTTTCACTGTGTACCCTATAGGGTTGTTGTGAAGGGAGGAAGTAATTTCTCATTTTATATATATATATATATATATATACACACACACACACATACATACATATATGTGTGTATGTATATATATAATGAGAAATTTTTATATTTTTACTATATACGTGTGTGTGTATATATAATGAGAAATTTTTTTATGTCTCTACTATATAACGTATATGTGTATATGCATATAATGAGAATTTTTTAATATTTTTACTAAGTGTATATGTGTGTGTGTATATATATACATAATCTATATGTTTTTAAAACTAAATATTACCCCTCTTTGCTTTTTATTGCTTTTTCTCAAAATTAAATTTTCCACTTTTAGAATGAATGTGTTTACCTTGGAAAAGATTAGCCTTAAAGATCAAGTACTATTACTTTAAATTTATTAATAATTTAAAACATAAACTTAAAGACTTTACATAAAAATATTTCAGAAATTCATTGATGCTATAACTTAATTTGGAAACCCTGGTGATGCAGTGGTTAAGAGCTACGACTGCTAACCAAACGGTCAGCAGTTCAAATCCACCAAGCGCTCCTTGGAAACTCTATGGGGCAGTACTACTCTGCCCTATAGGGTCACTATGAGTTGGAATCGACTCAACGGCAATGGTTTTTTTTTTTTTTTTTTTTAGTAACTTAATTTACTTCTAATTCCTGTAATTAAAAATTTTAAATACAATGAAACCATGTCTGAACATGCTTTGTGAATTGTAACATTCCATACAAATATAATTTTATATTCCTTATGTGTTAAAATAATACATTTCATCAGTGTTTGATCAGTACCAGTAAACAGTAAAAACACATTGAACACTATTTTTATTGTATTATAAGGCTGATCATCTAGTTTAAGAAAAGTAATTAAGGTAATTATTTTCAAAATGATTTCAAAAAGATCTTTTTATAAAACTCTGTTTAATATATTCTTAGAGAACAACCATTTTAAAAATGTTTTAAGCTACTATAAAAGAAGTTTGCTTTATCTTCCAGTCAAATTTAGAAGGTTGACCTGTGGAGCTAAACTTTACTTGGCATGTTAAGTAATGGATTGAGCCTTCTTGAACCCATATCTTAAAAATGTACCAAATCCTCTGTTCACTTTATTACCTTCTAGAAAAATACTCTAAAATTTATTATGTTAAAAAGAAATGTAGTCTGCACTGTCTTGTCCTTTTTTCTGTTTATTTTTAAATTTAATTTTTTAATGAACATAATACATGGACATGTGTGTATAATATATATTTCTGCTATCCAGGTTCATTTCTCAAAGGTTTTTACAAATGGGACCATAATATATTTACTGTTTTGCACTTTGGTCCTTTCACTTAATAATATATTTACTTTTTCAAAAAAGTATCTGTGAAGTATATAGACACTCTCTCCAAATTTGTTTGGAATATGAGGCATATATTGCCTTAATAATGAAAAGCAATTGCATGCTTGGCTTTTCCTAAGGATTATGAAAACATATAAATAGTTTCAAAAGCTATTTTATGACTGCCATTATATTGCCATCCATTGTGTTTTAATTATAATTACCTTTATCAATTCTCACCTGTCCATCTGAGTTTTAAGTAAAAATTTTCCACAGAATAATACTTAAATATTCATTCATTAACAAATAGTTATAAAGCACATGCTAGGCATGGTTTAATTAGACATGGAACAAAACAAGTATCTCTGCTGTCATGAAATTTACATTCTAGCTCATTGATTTGAGCCAATCAACTGTGTTAAAGTTAGCTGTTTCTGCTGTTTGCATCTGATTTGTCTTATTTTCATTTTTTCACTTGAATATTTACATTTTGTGTTAATTATGTACATTTTAAGTTTTTAATTGCTTTTAGGGAAATAGTATATATTATTTATAAATAACTCGATGCATTAAGTGTGTGAAAATGTATAGTCAGGTAGAATATTTTTTCGGCATTAAATTGTCTATTCATTTTAGCATAATAAAGTCTGATTGGGCTTATAAATGAGTCCATTGTTTTCATTTTAATCGTGCTCAGTGATTAAGTAATTAATACTCTAACACCATCTTAAGTGAGGTATTGTATATATGTTCCTTTAGTGACCATGTCTCTCCCAAGTTTGCTAATCTCATCTTCTTTCACAACTATGAGAGCCCTCCTTTACTATGACAGCCCATCTACCTGGTTGAGCATATAGCATGTGGCCAGAGACAGATGTAGTCCATTATTCTCTGGGGTAAAGCCCAACTGAAACTTATTGGGGAAAAAGAATTAATGATAACTAATTAGTTATTACAGTTGAATTAAAAAGCCTGTAGGACCGAATCACCTGCCTGCTGTTAATACCAGGCGTTATGCCTCAGATTCAGCTCAAGAAGTCAATGTGTAGTTGAAGGTTAATGGTTATCATTTTGAAATTAATTCCATTAGAATTATATTCTAAAACTGGGACATTATGGAAGGATTATTAACTAAAGGAATAAATAAATTACTGAAGGACTAAATAAGCATTGATTAAATAATCTTATATAGAAATAAGTTCTCCAAATTCACATCATAATTTACTTTTGTCTTAATATCATAGTGGAGTTCTTGGGTGGTGGAAACGATTAACATGCTTGACTGCTAACCAAAAGGTTGTAGATTTGGGTCTACCCAGAGGCACCTCAGAAGAGAGGCCTTGGCTATCTATTTCTGAAAAATCAGCCACTGTGAAAACCCTCTGGAGCCCAGTTCTACTCTGATACACTTGGGGTCACTGTGAGTCAGAACCAATTTGAAGGCAACTGGTTTTTAATATCACAGCATAGCAGCGCTTAGAAAGATGGCTGGCAAGGATGTTTTCAATTTAGAAAATTTAATAGTAGGTCAGAAGAATATTCTTATACCAGATTCTAGAGCCAGTATTACCTGTTCCAGACTTGATTGGTTCTTCATGAATTTCATGTTTTTAAATAAGGTGAATCTGGCATATTGACCTTTGAATAAATACAAATAAAAATGTTAATTTAGTTTACTACTTAAAATACTATTGATGCCTTTGAATTATGTTGTTGGTGAAGAATACTGAATATACCATGGACTGCCAAAAGAATGAACAAATTTGTCTTAGGAGAAGTACAGCCAGAATGCTCCTTAGAGGCAAGAATTCGAGACTTCTTCTCACATATTTTGGACATGTTACCAGAAGGGACTGACTAGTCGTTGGAGAAGGACGTTATACTTGGTAAAGTAGAGAGCGAAAAAAGAGGAAGACCCTCAACGAGATGGATTGACACAGTGGCTGCAACAATAGGCTCAAGCATAGCAATGATAGTGAGAATGGTGCAGGACTGGGCAGTGTTTCGTTCTGTTGTACACAGGGTCGCTATGAGTTGAAACTGACTCGATGGCACCTAACAGCAACAACAACAACTTAAATACTAACCAGCTTCCAGTAGTAATAATTTATTTTCTTAATGTTTTACAGTACTGGTGTTTATATAAGGCCATTAAACTAGATTTCCAGACTCAGCAAAGACATTTAAAAGAAGTCTAAAAAGTGACTAGAATTTACATCTGAAGTTGTTAAATCATGTCTCAGAAATTCTAAAATACTAGGGAGAAAAGTATACCACATTTGAAAAACAAATGGAAATTTTGTGGTACTTCTTTATTTTATATTTGAATTTAGTTTCTAACATAAGGATAATTATCTTTATTGACAATTGCTTTTATCAAAAGGATAGCATCTTAACTCCTGATAGATTACTGTTAACAAATGTACTTTAACGAATTAAAGTTTTTAAAGAAAAGCACAGTAACTATTCCAATTTTTAACCTTTAAATAATGTTCACATTTTATTCAGCCAATAAGATGCTTTTTTTTTCCTATGTAAGATATAGCAAACAGTTGTCATAACTGATTCAACCTGTTTACATCTTAATTTCGTCTTATGTTTGTAATGCATGTATCTGAACAAAATTGTATTTTCATTGTAAGTGGTGGTTACAGTATTAATTAAAAATACTAGAAAAAATTTTAGGGTGATATCATCGTCTGCGGAACCCTGGTGGCACAGTAGTTAAGAGCTCAGCTGCCAACCAAAAGGTTGGCAGTTTGAATCCACAAGCAGCTCCTTGGAAATGTTATGGGGCAGTTCTATTCTGTCCTATGAGGTTGCTATGAGTCAGAATTGACTTGATGGCAGTGGGTTTGGTTTTTGGGTTATTGTCATCTACATTCGTTTTATTTTTATTTTTCAATAAAGAATGAGATAAATAGTAAAGGGTTTACACATGTATTAATCATTCCATTTCTTTTTTAATATAGATCTCTCACATGCATGACTTGATTGTTAATACTGACTCAGTATTCTCAGTTAATGCAGTGGTTGAGTTTTGTTGTTTTTTTCCTTTGTGTAGCTTCTAAAAGAGATGTGTTTTTGGTATTAAAATTACAAAGATGTGTGATAGGCTTTTAAAATATGAAAAGTAACATGCTTTATTTATTTATAGAATATTATTTAAAGACAAAGATCGGAATTGGGAAGAAATAGAAAGCAAGTTAAGAACTGAAAGTGAAGTCCCTATTGTGAAAACTTCAAGCATGGTATGGTAATTTTTCTTGAATATTAAAACATTTTAATAGCAGAGTTTTGTTTTAAGGAAAAGATAGCATGCCTGTTTTTGAACTGTTTTTTTTTTTTATTTACATTTATAAAAGAAGAGACAAGTTTACAAATTTGGGAAATTTTATGCCTTCAGCTCTCTCACAGGGCTTTAAAATATTGATTGCTTCAAAGTTGGAGAGATTAAAGGAGGAACCTTTTGTGTTTCTCACTATTATACATTCTTGTTCTTATACATAATTATACATTATAAATATGCAGTTTTGAAATAAGAGCCAAACTCAGACTGGACTGTGGGACATAAAATGATACTCATGAAGAGTGTGCTTCTTAGCTCAAGTAGATACATGAGACTGACGGGCAGCTTCTGTCCGGAGGTGAGATGAGAAAGCAGAGAGAGTTAGGAGCTTGTTGAATGGACATGGGAAATCAGGGGTAGAAAGGAGGAGTGTGCTGTGACAGTATAGGGAGAGCAATTAGGGTCACATAACAATATATGGATAAATATTTGTATAAGAGACTAACTTGAAATGTAAACTTTCACTTAAACTACAGCAATAAACAAACAGAAAAAAAAGAAATAAGAGCCAAACTCAGATATTCAGTTGATGTGACTTGTTTCCATTTACTTATTGGAATGCTTGTCTCGTCTTCAAATATTTGAATAAATCTGCATTGCTCAGAGTCATCCACGTATTGAGGTTGCAGTGTATACATTTTTTTCGGAAGAAAATCCTTAGGTGCTTTCATAACATTGTTAAAGAGATTTTACAAAATCTTTGCTCATACAGTAGTAAATTATCTTGAACTTTTTATCACCCACTAACATTATTTCATTGAAAAAATTATTTTATTTCAACATTAAAGATTTTAAAATTTGAATCTTATTGACTGCATATCATAATCATTTTTTCACATTGGTACTAATGTAGTACCATGTAGATAATGTTAAGTGTCACAAATAAAATGAGAGCAAGATTCATTGCTTGTCAAATAAGAATGTTTTAGTTAAAGTAAGCTAGTTTTTGTCATTGATTTCCCTGCAGGAGATTTCTTCTATCTTACAAGAACTAAAAAGAGTTGAAAAGCAGCTACAAGGTAAATTTGTTTCTGAATTAAGTATAAAGAGCTAACAATTTAGGATAAGTGTATTCTAAGTGGTATTTCTTAAAATATTCTTATTAAGATATCATTTGATTAAGTGTAATGACATGTAGATAGAAATATCGAGTTCTGCATATCCAAATTACTCATCAAAAGGAAGTTTTACAACCCAGTATAAAGAATTAAAAAGATTGTAAAGTTAAAGTTGGGGCGGGCGTGTTTTAGTACTTAGATTTGACAATAGGCTAAATGTTATAAATGAATTCACAATTTTCTATATTCTATTATAATATATATATAAATATAAATAAAATAATGAATTTAATTGTGTGTATGCAGTTGAAAATTTTATTTTATCCAGCCTGGTGTCTCGACTTGTAAAAACACATACATGTTGTTAATATGTCTTAGTTTAATGTTGGCAATTAACATTATTTATTTGATTTGAAAAATCTTAAATTATATTTGGGGTATAATCTCAAACTTATACTCTAATACAAAGCATAATTGCTTTGGATGGACCACAAGAAATGAGTGCATATTGGCCATTAAAAAAAAAACCACCGTTGCTGTCAAGTGGATTCTGACTCATAGCGACGCTATAGGACAGAGTAGAACTGCCGCATAGAGTTTCCAAGAAGTGGCTTGTGGATTCAGATTGCCAGCCTTTTGATTAGCAGCCAAACTCTTAACCACTGAGCCATCAGGGCTCCATATTGGCCATAGGGACCAGAAAAGTTAGGAGAGAAGAGAATGAAAGAGACGTCTGCCTCCTAAATTTTGCCAGGGACATTGTTTTGGTTTGTGTTAGATCTAGATCATGCATGAGTGGCTATGCATGTCTTGACCTAGAAAAGTCCCTAGTGGCACAACAAGAAGGTTCTATAGTCACCTACTAATTCTCCTCAATTTTTAGTGATAATAGGCATAATTTGTGGATCCTACCTATGTGATTCCTAATTTTCATTCAGTCCCAACACACCTGAGGGTTCTGATATACTCCCATGACTAAAAGTGGCTTGCTAACACAATGATTGTCAGCTAGTAGAACACGAGTGTCCTTTTAAAAGGATCTCCTAAATGATTCTTATATCTGTGGTGTTCTCTTTTCTCAACTTCCCACCCTATCCATGCCAAGTTGAAAATCACTGCCTAAGAACTTTCCTCATCCTGCAAAGGATCTTTTGGATTGAAAGCTGGTCTTTAACTGCCCCCCTCCCAGGGAGATAACAAAGTCTGTCTGGCTTCTTGGGCTGCCATGCGGTATTAGTACCTAAGCTATGAGGGGACCCTTATGGTTAGTGATACATGTTCACTTGCACATGGTGGATATCCTAGCACTCTCACAGGGTGAGCAGCAATATGCTGTGGTAGCTTTCAAAATATGCTGATAGCATTCTGGCCTCCCCAGCCTTTAGGTTACTCTGAACCCCGTCTTAGCAACAGTTATCTGAGGGATAAGTAGGGCTAGGAGTATTTATTTAAATCATAACCAGTATTTCCACGATCCTCTCACATTAATGAAAGCAAATTTCAAAAAGGTCTGTCCTGAATTTCACATCTCCAAATCCCAGTCTTTAACAGGTTCTGAAATGCCCATAAGTGAGCCTACGCAAGCAACCAGGAAAAGCATTCAGGTTTGTATAATCATTACTGTAGGTCAGTCACATAATTATTGAGAATGTGGTTTTAAATACAGTATTGGAAGTTTAGCCAAATTTAAGATCACATAAGCACCAATGGTTGAAATATTATCCAAATCATAAGTAATGTTCATAGCCAAATGTAACTGCATCTAGAATTATATTTTTTTCCCCCAAATCCTTTGTTTTTTTCTTTCTCTCAGCAATCAATGCTATGATTGACCCAGATGGAACTTTGGAGGCTCTGAATAACATGGGATTTCCCAGTGCTGTCTTGCCATCTCCGCCAAAACAGAAGTCCAGTCCTGTGAATAACCACAGCAGCCCCGGTCAGACACCAACACTTTGCCAACCAGAAGCTAGGGTTCTTCATCCTGCTGCTGTCTCAGTCTCAGCTGAGTTTGAGAATGCCGAATCTGAAGCTGATTTCAGTATACATTTCAATAGGTTCAACCCTGATGGGGAAGAGGAAGATGTTACAGTACAAGAATGACTTTCTCTTGATTGTTAAAAAATAATTACCTGTGAAATGACTAGGATTATTGGAAGGAGCATAGTGTTGACTTATATAAAACAAGACAGCTTGGTCAACTACCATTTTGTTCTCCCTGTCTTCTTAATTTTATTTATTTGTTTTTTATATATAATGTGGTATCATATTAATCCTCTCAAGACATTTAGATAACCATTTGATGCACATATAGGAAAAAGCTAATGTGACAGTTTCTCCTTTTGTCGTTTTATGATTATCAAATTGAATTCTATAATTGCATCCTTTCCCTTCATAGATCTTCGTTTTTTGTTTTGTTTTGTTTTGTTTTGTTTTTTAAGCCATGCTGTGACCTACAAGCAAACTAAATACCCAACATTTCTGAAACCCCATGTCTCCTGTGCCAAGCTGCTCCCTGAAATGGACTTCCTCGTCATCTGTACAGATTTGTTAAACAGTTATATTTGCTTCTTAATAATAGGATTTATATTAGTATTCATTACCATTGGACACAATGACACATTACTCTTCACAGTAAAATAGACTTTCAAAACATTCATTCTTGTGTCCTGAAGTTTTCCAGCATATATGTGATTTATAAACTTCGTTGCTACGTAAATTGTCTTGGGGTTTATGGAGATTAACTATTATGTTTGCACTAAGATTTGCTGGGAGTGGTAGGTGGGCATATCTATATATCAATAAGGACTAATCGTCTTTTTTTGTACATAGGAGATTGCTAAAACTGTATTTGTTTTAACCCCACAGTGTTTTGCTCCACTTTTGAGAAGATCAATTTGGCACTTTCTTCAGTTTTTTTTTTTTTTTTTTTTTTAATGGTAATAAGATTTTGTCTCATTTTAGGTCAGATGATAGCTAGAAAGATTAAACTAGACAGATAGTTTAGGTGGAGTATATTTTTAAAGAACATGTATATTGGTCCTGTGTTACCAAGTTTATATGTGACAGTTGAAAAAGATTTCCCTTGAAATGATCATGAGGTTAAAATTTTCTCTTTTAGGAGGCTCGGAGAACCAGTAGGTATAAGATTAGTTGATAGTTTCACTCCCAAGCAATAAATTGCTTGTGTGTTTCCCTATAGGACCCAATAGTAATTCCTGTCTCAGTCTTTTACATTTATAAGGACTCTGGAAGATGACAATGACACAGGCTTTGGGCCTCTGCTACTTAATAGGAAGCCTATGAAAATTATCTTCTATAGACTTGTTTTTTCTTTCCCGTAAGTTCACACTTGGATAAGTTTAATAAGAAAGTAATTATCTGTGTGTTTCCAGAACACTATAATTTGGGTGAATCTTAATTCAGTTAAATATTATTAGTAGACCAGAATTTTTCCCTTGATCCCATCAGTCTGTAAAGGTTAAAACTGCAACTTTTATGAAATGGTCTTTAATATTTCAGCATAATCTTGTGCTGTATTTCTTTAAGAAACAGACTAATTCTGTATATTTCAAAACTTTATAGGATTTTTAAAATCCTGTACTGATGGACGAGTTAATAAAGATGAAAAAAATCTTTTATAGAGATGTAAAAACAAAAGTCTGTTGTATAATGGATCTCATTTTTTTTAATTAAAAAAAGGAAAAAGATAAATGAATTTTCTTCTTTTAAAGCTAAATTCCCCATTCTCTCTAATAAAGGAAGACTGAAAAAAAAGTTTTAACGAACATGAATGGAAAGATAAAAATGCATTTAAGGAATAAACAAAACATTAAAACAGGGTCAATCCATTTTTTAAAAAGTCAAACAGCATAATCACCATTATTCCCTCTTTGGGTACTGATTATATCCACATGAAAGTAGAAGGTAAGGAGTTGTTTAGGAAAGTATTAGAATCTACTTACATTATTGTTCAAGTGTTTACACAGTTTTGTTCATTGATAAGCATTTGGCCTTTTACTATGTTATTTTTATTTTGTATGAATACATTATTCTCCTTATTTATTTTTGTTACATTTATTATGTTATTTTGTTATGCATTTAAACTCCATTTTTAAATAAAGTGTTTCTGGAACTTTATACAATGATTGTTTATTTCTTCTACCACTTGAATTGCTAATACTCCGTCAATTTACCAAATAACTATTTATATATTCTCCAAGGTTTAGCAAAAAAGAAAAGAATAAATCCTTCAATTCATTTGGAGAAATCCATGCTTGCTTCTTTTTTTGGGTGTTGGAATAACCAGTAATGGGTGTCCAACAGAGGAATATCTGAACTCTGTAGCTTGTTTAATATCCTCCTTGAGCTGGCCTAAATAAGTTCCCACTCCCTCCTTGCCTCGAGGCATGGTTGTTGTTGTTAGGTGCCATCGAGTTGGTTCCGACTTATACGTACAACAGAACAAAACACTATCCGATCCTGTACCATCCTCACAGTCATTGCTGTGTTTGAGCCCATCGTTGGAGCCACTGTGTCTATCCATCTTGTTGAGAGTTGTCATGAATTGAAGTGTGTCCCCCAAAAATATCTGTCAACTTGGCTAGGCCATGATTCCCAGTATTGTGTGATTGTCTACCACTTTGTCATCTGATGTGATTTTCCTATGTGTTGTAAATCCTACCTCTATGATGTTAATGAGGCAGAATTAGAGGCAGTTATATTAATGAGGCAGGACTCAGTCTACAAGATTAGATTGTATCTTAAGTCAGTCTCTTAGATAGAGAAGTGAGCAGAGAGATGGGAGGACCTCATACCACCAAGAAACGAGCCAGGAGAACAGTGGGTCCTTTGAACCTGGGGTCCCTGTGCTGAGAAGCTCCTTAACCGGGGAAGACTGATGACAAGGACCTTCCCCCAGAGCCAACAGAGAGAGAAAGCCTTCCCCTGGAGCTGGCACCCTGAATTCGAACTTCTAGCCTCCTAAACTGTGAGAAAATAAATTTATCTTTGTTAAAACCATCCACTTGTGGTGTTTCTGTTTATGGCAGTACTAAATAACTGAGACAAGGGTCTTCCTTTTTTTCGCTGACTCTTCTTTACCAAGCATGATGTCCTTCTACAGGGACTGGTCCCTCCTGGGAACATGTCCAAAGTACGTGAGACAAAGTCTTGCCATCCTCACTTGTAAGGAGCATTCTGGCTGTACTTCTTCCAAGACAGATTTGTTTGTTCTTCTGGCCACCAAAACCAACAAACCCATTGCCACTGAGTTGATTCCAACTCATAGCGACCCTAGAGGACAGGGTAGAACTACCCTCTAGGGTTTCTCAGGAGCGGCTGGTGGATTAGAACAGCCAATCTTTTGTTTAGCAGCAGAACTCTTAACCACTGCGCCACCAGTTCTTCTGACAGTCCATGGTATAGTCAATATTTTTCACCAACACCATAATGCAGACACATCAATTCTTTGGTTGTCCTTACTCATTGTCCAGCTTTTGCATGCATATGAAGTGATTGAAAATACTATGGAAAATAACATTTTTGCTTTTTAACACCGTAAAGAGGTCTTCTGCAGCTGATTTGCCCAATGCAATACATCATTTGATTTCTTGACTGCTGGTACAATAGGCTACCATTGTGGATCCAAGTAAAATGAAATCCTTCACAACTTCAGTCTTTTCTCATTTATCATGATGTTGCTTATTGGTCCAGTTGTGAGGATTTTTGTTTTCTTTATGTTGAGGTGTAATCCATACTGAAGGTAACATCTTTGCTGAAGGCTGTGGCCTTTGACCTTCGTCAGTAAGTGCTTCAAGTCATCTTCACTTTCAGCAAGCAAGGTTGTGTCATCTGCATAATGTAGGTTGTTAATGAGTCTTCCTCCAGTCCTGATGCCTCCTTCTTCATACAGTCCAGTTTCTCGGATTATTTGCTCAGCTTACAGATTGAATAAGTATGGTGAAACGATACAACCCTGACGCACACCTTTCCTGGTTTTAAACCATGCAGTATCCCCTTGTTTAGTTAGAACGACTGCCTCTTGGTCTATGTACAGGTTCTGCATGAGCATAATTAAGTGTTCTGGAATTCCTGTTCTTTGCGATGTTATCCATAATATCGAGGCATAGTTAGTTAGCCTCATACCTCCCCTTGTGGCTTCTTTTTCTGTTATCTTGACCATAAGGAAAAGTTCCCCGCTGGCCCCACTCAATCTGTCTAGCACAACACTTCACAACTAGAACTAATTTTTGTTGAATAGTAAGTTAGTACTCTTTTTAGTACCCTTGTACATACTGATGAAATGCTCAGCAAACGTGAATTGATTGAAATCTATTAGAGTCAGTATTATTACTAAGGAGCCCTGGTGGTGTTGTGGTTAGGAATTCAGCTGCTAACCAAAAGGTTGGCAGTTTGAATCCACCAGCCGCTCCTTGGAAACTCTATGGGGCAGTTCTACCCTGTCCTATAGGGTCACTATGAATTGGTATCGGCTCAATGGCAACAGGTTTTATTATTACTGTGAATTTATTAATTCTACCCCATAGGGTTTCCAGGGAGGGCCTGGTGGATTCAAACTGCGGGCCTTCTGGTTATTAGCCGAGCTGTTAGCCACAGCACCACCAAGCCCGCCTGAAGCCTCTAGGGGAGAATCATGTCTTGCCTTTTCCAGCTCGTGGTAGCCCCAGGTATCCTTGTTTTATGGCCAATCTATGTCTCTGTATTCACATGGCTGTCTTACCTGTATCTGTATCTCTTCTTATAAGGATACCAGTCATTGGATAAAGGACCCACCCTACTCCCATATGACCTCTTCTTAACTACTTACATCTGCAAAGACCCTACTTCCAAATAAGGTTACATTCTGAGGCTCTGGAAAGGACATGAAATTTGGGAGGACACTACCCAACCCAGTACACTGTTAAATTTTGTACACTTTAGATGGGTGAAATCTACGGTATGTGAATTAGATCTCAACAAATCTGTTACCAAAAAAAAGAACTGCATTTCAGGCGAAGATGCAACTGATTACTGTGCCATGAACGTGGCCAGTTTTGCAATCTGTTAGCATTCCTCCTTGCCTATGTATGTCTGTCCTCTGGATTTTCCTTTGAACTGGTCTTGATATCTTACTGGTTTCCTCAATTAATTAATTAATGAGTGAAATGAAATCTTTGATATGTGTTTACTTTTTTAAAAGACTGAAAATGGGATATTTCTCATGATAATCTTTATCAAAATGAACCATACAGGGAGAACTGGAAGACAGGACAAACCTGCAGAGCCAATATTGGGTTCCTTCAAAAGAATTTTAATATCATCCCCAAAATGAGCAACCATATGTGCTGGCACTGTGCTAGGACCTCTTTACCTCATTTAATCTTCACAACAGTGCAGCTTGATAAGAATTGTTAGTCTCCTTTTTCAGGAGAAGTAGAAGCTTGAGTCAAATAAGAGGTTCTAGATTACAAAGTGAGTCAGGATTCAACGTGGGTCCAGCTGGCTTCTTGAATCCTCTTTATCTTCAGTCATGAAAAGACAACATAGTGCAGTTGTTGTAGAAAGCCACCCAGTGGAGTTAGGAGTCTTGCAACTAAACAATGTATTACTGGCTTTGGGCAAGTGATTTCAACTCTAGCCTCATTTTCATCCAGAGGTGTTGATGAGCTGATCTTTAAGGTATATTTCTGCTATCTTAGTTTATACTTCTGCGACCTTCAGATCCTGCTCTGTTCCCCCAGATTCCTGGTAGAAACATATTTTGTTTTCTCTACAGTAATTGCCTCTCTTACTGCCCCCTTCCTCACCTTACTCCTCAGCTGCTCACCCTTTTATTCATGTTATTCTTTCTTAAGCTGCTTCTCCCAGATGAAATTGTCCACTCCTATGTATTCACCATTATATTTTGCTCATTTTACTTTTGCCCATATAGAGACTACCAGTGGTTTGGATGAACCAGGACATCCTAGAATTTATAGCACCATTACCAGGAAAAGGGGGTAAGAGAACTGCACTCGCTGCAGCCCTTCTATATGGCAGGTACTATGTGGCCAGGGCAGTATTTTGAAATTTTGTTTTTCCCCATATTTCTCCCTTGGGCCAAACTAATTGCTTATAGTCTCTGGGGAGGAATGTGGCAGAGGAGAAAGCAAAACTACACTGCAATTCTCTCTGGTTCTGGGATTTTAACAGACCAAAGCCCTTAAGGGAATTTATAAGATTTTTAGAGAAATGAAAGCAAATTCTCAGGCTTTGACAAAATATCTTGGCTGTAATTTGAAGAGAAGATTTCTTCCACACAAGAAAATGAGGACACTGGGTCCCCAGAGAAAGAGGGGGACCTGCTGTAGCTTCACAGCAGAGCCACATGGGAGACAGCCACATCCCAGAGGAAAAACTGCCTCACAGTGTGTCTGGGCAGTCAGGACTGTGGGCAGGCTGGAAAACGATCTCCTTTTAATTAAGCATTGCATGAAAGTAGCATAGAGCCACAAGACTGAAGAGTCAGGCTCCCAAGGGTGATAGGTCTATCAGAGGTAACTTGTGTGGACAACTTGACACAGTGTGGGATTCTGTAGTGTATTGTGGGAGTCAGTGAGATACCTCCAAAGACTGAGGTAAAGTATCTTCCCAGCCTGCAATGATAGGGAGCTTGAAATGGTAAGTTGGCTTATAAAACCGTTGCCCTCAAGTCAGTTCCAACTCGTGATGACACTACGTATATGCCAGAGTAGAATTGTGCTCCATAGTGTTTTCAATGGCTGATTTCTCAGAAGTAGATTGCCAGGAGTTTCTTTCAAGACACCTTGAAAGACTCAAACCTCCAAACTTTCAGTTAGCAGCCAACATGTTAACTAGTTGACTACCTAGAACAAGGGGATACTGGTGGTTTAAAGTCAGGAAAGATGTGCATCAGGGTTGTATCCTTTCACCATACTTATTCAATCTGTATGCTGAGCAAATATTCCGAAAAACTGAACTACATGAAGAATGCAGCATCAGGATTGGAGGAAGACTCATTAACAGTCTGTGTTATGCAGACGACACAACTTTGCTTGCTGAAAGCGAAGAGAACTTGAAGCACTTACTGATGAAGACCAAAGACTACAGCCTTCAGTATAGATTACACCTCAACATAA